TTCGCGAAGTTGGGGCAATTCCGTACACAATTTCAGGCGATTTCCCATGGAAATTGTACGAATTTTTAAAGCATTTGTTTAGCTTTACTTTGCGCCTTTACAACGAATTCGATGCGGACTTGTGTCATTTAAATATAATGTTCCTTATTTCCGGATAGAACATCAACTATAAAATACCTTTGAGTTTCAATAATTGTTAACGCAACTATTTAAATAAAATTTATCATTATGCAGAAAACGAAGCCTAGAACGTATCACTTAACTATAAGAAAAATAAATAAATTTCTTTACATATGGTTTATGCTATTAGGGCTTTTTTTTTATTAAATTATAATTTTTTTAATTTTTTATATTCGTAAAAATGCTGAGAAAAATACTGGTAATTAAAATTGCCGGTATTTTAAAATTTTAAATAAAAAATTTTTCTTATTTTAGCGCATATCGGTGAGAGCGACATCTAGTTGTTATTTTAGTAAACTGAGCGCAACTCTGTGCGACATCTGCTGGCAATAAGCACACAACACATGCAGTTTAAACGCTGCTACCGAGCAGTTTGGAGCGCTCTGCATTTAGCCAGATGGGTGGTGAAACTGGATGCAATCAAGCTTTCAATATGCATACATATATATGTACCTACACGAATGTACAGTAGCGAAAATATAAATAGGGAAGACACAATTAGCAAAAGACACATTAGTCACACATTTGGCTATTTCCCTTTCGTTTAATTAATGTTTATTATTTTTTTTATACAAGTTATGTAACAAAAACCATGTAAGTCAAAATTTCAAACTTTGTACAAAAATTAGGAAAATTCGACAAAGTTTCATTAAAACTTTGAGCTGATGTAACTCATTTACTTCATACAAAAATGTTTGAACAATCTTTGTATTGGGAAAAAATGCCTGAAAAAAAATTGCCAAAAATTGTTAGTAAGTACTAGCTATTTAAAACTTGCACTTTATTATACTAAAAATTAATGGGCTACAAGACTGCTTACTCAAAAAAATTCTGAAAAGTTTTAAATTTTAATGAACATTCTTTCATAAATATTCTACAAAGTTAGAGTTTTTTTTGGGTTTACATGGCAATAAACTTTTTTTAAACAAAGACAAGTAATTTTTAGCAAAAAAAAACCTTAACTATATATGTACATATGTATGTTTGTATATAGTAAGTATCTATGTATAATAAAAATTTCTGCACTTTATATTCGAAGCGCGTTCCTTTTGATGCTTATCAAATGGGAGCTCGAACCTAAGAATATATACTATATACACCTATGTATGTATGTACATAGTATAACATATTTTGCGAGTTGCAAGTGCTCCGTTGGATAAATTATAATTGCAAATACATTCACAGATAAATCAAAACTGTGTGGAAAATTTGACATACATTTACGTTTTTAAAATTTATGTAGATACTTATGCATGCATGTACATATCCATGTACGTACACTAGGGTGTACCATTTTAGAAGTTGATTTGTCATACTTTTTTTTTACTTTTTCTGTAAGACAAAAAAAAAATCTTGGCGCTCACTTTTTTGCTAAGTGTTTGGCCAAGCTTCTTCCTCAAGGCTGCTGACGGAGATTTGCTATTTTGCCTGTTGTGAGAAATTGCTGTTAGAAAAAAAAAAAAAACTTTTCTATAAACGTCCTGCGGTTCCTCTGAAACTTTGTATATTTATATGAAAAATTATGTTGCTTAGCATATCGAGCGGAAATATTAAATAAAAAAACAAATATGCAATGTTTTTCGCTAAAAATAAATTCTAAATACTCGCAAGATTATTTTAAATGCCACCACATTCCGAAATCAGAAAATGTGATCAAGTTTTAATTAAATATATCTAGTATTGAAACAAATAAGAACTAACAGAAATAATATTCAACTTTGAAGTCGTTTAAAATCATGAAATTGCTGGTTTTATTTATGATAAGAAAATTTTTTAATAAATCACTTATTTCGTTTAAGGAAACTGTGTTGCCCTTATGAACCGGTGTAGCTTGTTTTGTATTTACATATAAATATTTGGGAGCACTTGTTAAAATTTTTACGTAAATACATACAAACATATCTACATATATATGTATGCATAGAAGGTTGTACATTGTATAGACGAGCCTTCGAAACAAATACTAAATATCTACAGATTAATACATATGCATAATATTAGTAGGTACATATTTATGCAACGTGAATTTAAAACAAAAAAAGGCGATCACACCATGTAGCTAATCGAATTTTAAAACAGCACACAGTACAATGTACGGCAGCGATGATCCTTGGAATGCTGCAGCTTCAATAAAAAAAAATTCTACATGCACATACAAATTAGTGCTACACTCAAATGCATTAATGAATACATAATAACGAGGTGGGTGTGGAAATGCTAGGGTGACTCTTTTTAGGCACTTTTTAAAAACATAAAAAAAAAATTTAATTCTCTATACTTTTGTTTTTGTTCCACTCTTTAGAGTTCTGCGTAATTCAGGCTCAATAGGATTAGGAGAAGACGTGACACGGGAAATTCAAAGCCACAAAAACTCAAAAGGAAAATTGGATTTTTAGAGTTTGGATTCCCAACTAGGTTTGGTTTATAGTAGGTAATTGTGATTCCTACTTATGCAGAGTTGTGGTTTGACCACTCTGATCACTCAAAGCCACTTTTCTGAGACTCTTCTTCCTATGTCGTACCATTATCATAGAAAACGGTTTAAGTCATCGCTATACCCAAGGCGGGGAAAACCTTAAATAACCTCCCAATTAGCCCAAGCTCTTTTCTAATAAAAGCTTTAAAAATTAGTTGACTTTCAAATCAGGGAAGCCTATCTCATGGTCAATCATGTCAATGCGCAGGAAAGGCCGTTGTATTTTCATCTAATCCGGGCGGAAGTTGATGCAAGTGAAATCTATACCCGCGCAACTGGCGGCGATGCTTGAAACCTCTGTAAGTTGGCTACTGAACATGCTCATGGCCTGTTTGAAGCTAAATTACAAACCGACGGCGTAAAGATCTGTCTCCATGGTCTTTATTCCTTAAGCCGGTAAGGCCACACATATAAATCCAAAGGATCTCAATTCTGTTAGCTTCTCTGTTTTGTTTAAAACCTTGGAAAGGATAGTTAGTAACTACCTATCCTTCACTATTGATAATCGACTCCTGTCTTACAACCAACATGCCCATCTGAAGGACAAGTCTAAGGAGACCGCGCTGCATTGCCTGATCAGTTTTATTGAAAAGTCCTTCAGTTACCAGGAAAATTGTCTTTAAGCATTCTAGACATTGAGGAAGCTTTTAACAACATAAATTCAGAGGCCATAATAAAGGAGGTGGACGATTCTCTGGTGGAGTTTATAAGACAGACGCTCCTGCGCAGGATGATCATGGCAAACGTCGGTTAGAACTCGGCCTCGATATATGTGACAAGGGGCACACCGCAGGGTGGCGCCACTCCTTTGGAACATAACCGTAAACTCTTTCTTGTGAGAGACGAAATGTGGAGGCGCCAAGGATGCTGCTTATGCGGATGACGTAGCCAACTCTGTGCGAATTCATGCAGAGGGCACTTCGCGATGTATCAAGATTGTGGCTTCTGCGTAAATTCGGAGAAATTGGAACTTATTCTCTTTAGGGGTCATTCTCGACACAAAACTGAAACATAGTCTAGCGCTATGAGAAGGCATCTGCAGCCTTCTATGCGTGCAAGAGGGCCATTGGTAAGAAATAGGGGTTGAGCCTGAGTATATGGCGGTGGACTTACCCAGTGGTGGTTAGACCGATTCTACTTGAGAAAGGCCTTAAATTTTAATCTACTCAGCATAGTACAGAGTATTAGTGTGATCTGTATTAGCGGAGCAATCCGGACAACGTCAAAGTATAGAAAGTTCGTTATGAAAATCCCAAGCAGGAAGGAATGAGTAGAAAACTATTATACTCCACCCCGTGGTATAGTAATTTTCACAGCTGTTTCGAAAACGAGCGGTGGAGTGGAAAGGGGGGGGGGGGGCTCCTCTCGAAGCCCTACCCTGAGCAGCTAACTTCGATTGCTCGCCTACTGTAGTGTCTTTCCGGCCGAGGTGTCAGCTATAATGAAGGCTATAAACTAGCTTCGTATTGATTTAAAAGGTGAATAGGCGTTCATTATTAGAGACAGCCAGGCCCCAATTAAAGCTGTACGCTCCGTCACAATTAAATCAAAAATTGTGCTGGACTGCCGCCGATCTCTACAAGAGGCGGCTAAGCAGAACAGTCTAAACTTCATTTGGGTTCCCGGTCATAGGGACTTAGAGGTTCACTGTATGGGGGACGAACTTGCGATGGACAAACAACGCATTGGTATGCCCTTCGCCACTTGCCAGCTGATTTTAAGAGAATTATCTATGCTCGCGCGAGCGAGAGATGGATGCAAACTACGACCTATCGAATTTCTAGGCAAATTTGGCGTAGGTGGGATCGAAAAAGGTCTCGAAGCTTATATTTTCTAAAGAGGGAAGATATATCTGCCACAATTCGTGCTCTAACAGGCCACTGCCTTATAAGTAAACACGCAGAAGTTGCCACCTTCTTTTCAACTGCCCGGCAGAATCGAGGAGCAGATTGCGCTTTCTGGGGTCTGCTTTCTATAGTGACATTGATAAATTGGGAGATTTAAACCCTAGGTGCCTGAAGAGTTTCGTCAAGGATTCAGAATGGTTTAGCAAGGGGGAATGAAAACTTTTAGTCGTGGTATCACAACGGGCCTTCAACTCGGGCCTATGTGTGTCTCTGCGTAGCAGTGACAGCCATATCGACCTACATACCTATTCCATATTTTCAGTGAAGTCTTTGTTGAACCATGGCTTTGGGGCTTTCTTTTTAAAATGAGACCTTCTGAGCAAAGTCGCGAAATATTAAGAAAAATGAATTTCCAATAAAAAGCTTCTAAGGAGATTTTATTTTGGCAGAGGTCTTTTTATTAATTTTTCAATGCAGGAATAATTATTTATAGCTTTATTTTATGTCTTTTACTTTTTTACAGTAAAAATGTTTTATGTATGTATCACAAAATATTTGCATGATCACTTCTTTTTGATCAAATTTTGAAAAAAGTTGCAACTCGAATGTCATCTTGCGCTCTTGTCCTCGTTTCTTTTTGTCAGTGCTGTATTTTTGTACTTCTTAAGCAGCATAATTTACTGTAAAAACACTTTTGCATTGCTAAATTTATATATTTTATGCAATTTAAAAAAAAAATGAGTTTCTGCTTACCTTTTATTGTAATCCTCTCCTCACAAATAACAAATTCAAAGGCCATACTTTTTTTTCGCAAACTGCCTCTATGCATTCACCTTCTTCTCGAACTTCAATACAGATAAAACTTTACGCATTAGCGCTGGCCCATTCCAATGGCCATTTAACATGACTTTCCAGTAAAGTGTAGGCATTAAGGCCTTTTTCAAAAAGAACATTGAATAGCGTTCCTTATTCTGTGCAAACGGGAATGTTTCCAATGGTTTCAAATCATAATCGAATTCAGCCAAAATACAGCTGTGATAGCCAGTGACGAGTGGACAGGAAGCGTAACCATCGTAGATGCTCTTCAGTTCCTTTCCCTTCAGCTGAGCCAACATATTGCGATATACAACAGGCGATTGTGCTGCTGCTGATGCGGCAGTCTTTGAGTTGGGTGAAGCCGAGCAATCGCCGATAGCAAAGACATTCTTGTAGCGCAGATGTTGTAGCGTTGATTTGTCCACATCAACGAAGCCAGCCGCATTCACCAATTCCTTGCACTGTGCCAATACAGTTGGTGTGCTCATCGGTGGCGTGACATGTAACATGGCGAACTGGTGGGATTAGGATGATAGTATTTTCAATCGTAAAACTTAAATACTTTTGTGAAACAGTTTTTCAGCGCTCGACCAAATGCATTGAGTTCTTGCGCCAACTCTAAGGCTGAGTGCACATGAGACAACCGTTGCGCCAAAAAACATATCATGTCAATATGCCGTGATATTTCAGACCACGTTTGCCGCAACACGAACAACATACATATACATACTCGCAGCAAAAGTCGAAACAAACCGACTTGGTCGTTTCAACGGCTGCCTCGTGTGTAACTAGCGTAAGTATGTGTAATCACACTTTAGTTGAGCTGCGCTGAAAAGCTGTTTCCAAACATATCATACTCTGATACCTTTTCCTCGAATATCTCCTCCGGTTTGTCGAGATTTTGAAATACAGCCACATCTTCATTAGGCCGCACTTCAATCAAGTTGCGAAGCAAGTTCACTTTGATGTCTCGTTTTTCGACGACTTTCCACAGCGCGTCGGCATAGTGTTTCACGCCGAAAATTACGGGCAACGATGTGTTGTACGTAACCGTAATCTTGTTGCGCTTGCCAAGCTGTAGATAAAATATATGTACATATGTATGTATAAATATTAGGGTGTCCCAAAAATACACTTTTTCATTTTTCCTGCTGCCAGCCCAGAACTCAAGGACAGCAAAAATAAGAACGTAATTTTTTATTTTGAAATTGCTAAAAATTGTCAAAAGATGGCAGCCTCGTTCAAAAATACTTTTAAATATCCTCAACCGCTTTTAGTTTTGATAAAGAAACTGAAATATTTTATTGACCTTTAAAAATTTAAAATTTTCAAATACCTGGCCACATACCTACAGAAAACAACGAGTAGAATGCAAAAAAGAATTAAACACATCCATTGAGCTGTTCGTGCGTGATGTTGTTATGAAAACATAAAATAACTAATTTTTGTATATAACAGTTACAATTATCGGTTATTAAAACTCACTTAGTAAAATTTTTAAGTTAAATAAACATCATAGTGTTATTTATTGAAGACTACTGGAGGGAAATAGTCTCATTCGATCAAAAAATATTTATTTTGCACAATTTTATAGCAATTTTACGAAAAAAATTATTTTCCCCATGTAAAATACATGGGAAATTTCAAAGCCCCGGCGGCATCGATTGCAAAATACAAAACTACGTTCTTTTTATCTTTAATATTCTTCAGATCTGGAGGATGGCTGGAGGAAAAAAAATTTGGGCCACCCTAATGTATATGTAAAACTATATAACCTAATCTGTAATCTTTTTTATTAATTTTTCAGTGCATCTACCTTACGGAAATAGTGCTCAGCGATGTAGACAATCTTCTGTGGCGCACCCGGACATTTGACGGGTGATGCCGGGAACGTGAAAATGGCATTGCCTTCCTGTATGTTTTGCAGACACGCATAGGTGCGATCAACATATTTGGGTGAGTAATTTGAACAAACTTTGCCATTTGGTATGGATAGTGCTTCCACTAAGCCGGGGATCTAGGAAAGATTGAGAATTTTATTAATACGAGAAAATTATTAAATTACCTTAAATGTTATTTTTAAATTTTGAAAACAAAAGTTCAGTGAAAAAATTGCGGTTATTTTGTCTGATACCATTAAGTCCTCTGTTCGTGTAGAATATGTATGTCAGATAAATTAGCTTAAGTGACTTTGAATTCAAAAAGTTTCCGTTAAAAAAAATTGTATATTTTTATTAAACTTCTATTAAAAGGACAACTTAAACTACACCTGTGGCTAGTTTATTGTTAAAATATTGTTTGGGAACCCAATGAAGCATTGCTTTAAAGAGAAGATGCCTAGCTCGACTTAAGCTACTTTCACTGACAGGCAAAGATGTGTTTGTGTTTTCTCTTGTTTTCTAACAATTTTATTTTCATTATTTTGGACAAGGAACATCTATTATTTCTACTTTTGGTTTTCTAAGAAAAAAATGTTAGGTTTACCAGATTTTTCAGAATTTCATTGGATAGTTCGAAACTTTTAAAGATTTTACGTGATTTTTGGGAGGATTTAGGATTTTTTGCTAATTTTTGAGACTCTTTGGTTTTATTTTTTGGAATCTTTCGGAACTTTTCAGGATTGCTTCAGGACCTTTCGTGCCTTTTCACAATTCTTTGCTTCTTAATGTTTCAGGATCTGCCATGATTTTTTCGGGACGTGGAATTTTTTTATTTTTTTTTTCAATTTTTCGGGATGTTTCGGGACTTTTCGAGAGTTCCTCAGGGCTTTAGGGGCCGTTAAGGAATATATCGGTACTTTTCGGGATTGTTCTTGTTTTGCTTTTTCGAAAAATTTCGGAATTTTTTTGGAATTGTTTTCGGCACCTTTTGTGCTTTTTATTTATCGGGATTTACCATGATGTTTTCGGGAGTTTTAGAGGGTTTCCGAATTGTTTCGGGATTTTCAAGATTTTTTGCTTTTTTAGAACCTTTTAAGATTTTTTTTGACACTTTTCGGGATGTTTTTTACCCCTCTTGGCTTTATCGGGGTCTGCCGTGAATTTTTCGGGCCTTTGAGTGTTTTCAAGATTTGTCTGATTTGTTTTTGGGACATTTAGGGCTCTTATTGAGGGTTAGTGCTTTTAGAGGGCTTCAGATTTTTTTCCGGGGTTTTCAAGATTTTTTTGCTTTCTTTTTGGAACCGTTGTGGATTTATTTGACACTTTCCGGGCGTTTTTTCGATGCTTTTAGCGGCTTTTCAGAATTCTTTGCTTTTTTATTTTTCGGTGTCTGTCGTGCATTTTTCGGGACTTGGAATTTTTTTCCGGTACTTTTCGGACCTTTAAAGGTTTTCAAGATTTGTTTGATTTGTTTTTGTAACTTTTAAGGGTTTTCTGAACTTTTGCAGTGATTTAACATTTTTTTGCTTCCCTTTTAGAACCGTTTAGGATTTTATTAACGCTTTCGGTGTTCTTCGTGATTTATTTTTCGGGATATTTCGACATTCTTTCGCGATTCTTCGGAATTTTTTCAGAACCTTCCGTGGTTTTCAGAATACTTTGCCTTTTTATTTTTTCGGGACTTGGCGTAATATTTTCTGGACTTGGAATTTTTCGGGTTTCTTCTAGACTTTTCGGAAGTTATAATGAAATCCTAAGGTTAAGGGAAAGTTTGTGTTTATATAGGTATTTTTCGTAGTTGTTCGTGTTTTACTTTTCGGCATTTTGCGGCATTTTTTCCGGCACCCTAAGAAGGTTTTGGAAGCTATTTTTGTGTGTTATTTTTTGGGATTTACCATGAGGTTTTCGGGAATTTTTCGACTTCCTTGCTTTATTTTTTGGACCATTTAGGATTATATTGATACTCTTCTGGATTTTTCGTGGTATGTTTTTTCGGGATATTTCGGGACTTTTCGGTATTTTTTAAGCACCTTTAATGACTCTTCGAAGTTATCTTTTATTTTTCTTAACTTGGGATTCTTTGCTGCGTGGTACCATTCAGTAATTCCCAAGTTCGATGCCAGTTCAGCGTAGCTTTCCTTTTTCATTGACGTTTAAAAAAGATACCCTAATCAAATGCAAGAGGTTTTCTTATGGAATTTACTATGAATTAAGATTTTTCCTACTGAATCGAGAATTCTGTATCAGCAACAGTGAGTTCCAAATGATTGTATAGTAGTCTTTGCTCTTTAACAGTTCTCTCAGCAAACTCGACCAACCGATGAAGTATAGCCTTCATATTCAAACCCTTCGTCCCTAGGGGAGTTAAGCTTATCGAAAAAAATTAAGGTAGCCGTTATGTTCCTGCTGAAAATCCTTACCTCCTAAGCGAAAAACGGAAAACATACTGGCGGAAGAAATGGTTCCTGGCTTGCCTAAAAGGGCGTCTATAGATGTTTAAGGGTGCTATCATGGGACTCCAAATTATTTTCAGCAATCGAATAGTGACTGCATCTCATCATGCTAGTGGTATTGCTCAGCACACACTTCCCGGGTGTACTCTGGAATCTGGCACCATCATCATTGCCTCAAGTAGCCCGTTGCCAACTGGGATATCAAAAGGTTAGTTCCAACCCCACAAATCTCTAGGTTTAGGTTTGACAGCAGATCAAAGAATCTGGCTGGAGAATGACTTAACCGAATATGCAAATAGATGATGGTCTGCAGAGTCCACGTAAAGGACAGCACGACACACCTGGCCCAAATTAGTTGGAACTTGATCTTGCCTACTCTTCCGACTGGTGTGAGCACCGATTCGAGATATATTCAGGGTTATTGCAGGCCACTGCTTGATGGAAACGCATCCCAACAGAATACTTATACAGTACTATTTATTTCATTTTCAATGCAAATCTGCCTTGAACCAATGGTAAAATTTTTACCAATTTTCAGGGATATATTAAACTTTGTTCTATGAGTATTTGCCATATTCCTGGGCACTCGTCGTGTGGTAGATATTGTATTTACCTTCTCATAGTTTAATTGTAAGCCAGTTGCCAAGAGAAGCATATCATATTTGATATTAGTACCATTTGCCGTTTTCACTGTATTATTTTTAGGATCAAATTCCACTGCTTCCGATTTAATCCAGTTAATATTTTTTGGCAGCACTTCTGCCATAGGCCTATAAGACTGTTCCAGTCGTTTCATGCCGCCGCCAATAAGAGTGAACATTGGTTGGTAGTAGTGTTGCTATGAAGGCAAAAAGAAAACAGTCGTTTTATTATAAAAATATATATTAGCTTTAATGTTAATAATGTTTAATATTTTATGTTAATAAATATCGAAGTACATACATATATATACATACCTCGGCAGGCTCCACAACGGTTACTTTGTGCTTTCCCAATTTTGATGATAATTTTGCTGCGAGTGCGCATCCGCCGGAACCACCACCGACAATCAGTACTTGACACCTAGTGGAAATAAACGATTTCTTGAATTTTTTTAATTTTAAAACTTTGAAGTAGGAAGCAAACATATTTTGATCTGATAGGATATATTTAACTTTATATTAATTTTATCGATAGTTGTAACAAATAAAAATCGATATCTCTAAAACTGTTTATTTCAACTATCATCATTTCGAAAACACATTTGTACATTATTACTAATGGGGTATAAGATTGACTTCCGCCGTAGTCGATTGACCAGAGGTGTTTTTTAATAGATAGTCTTTTTGTGCTTTCTAATAGATAGCCTTTTAGAGGCGGCGGAAAATTGTATAACAGTACTTTATAAGCGAAAAATACTTACATATTTATTTATTTATTTATAGGGTGTATTAGAGCTTTGGCCTAGCAAAATCCATTGCGCTAAAGCAAGAATCACTCAAAACTCAGACGAAATGTTTATGAAGTTAGGCACTTTGGTAGGAATCATGTTTCCGACTATGGGTGGCCGAGATTTTCGCACCACATACCATGAGAGCTTCAGCCTTGTCGTAGGCAGCAAAGCCCTCAAGACTAGAAATCCTCTACAAGCTAGCCCTTTTGTCCATTACATTTTTGCAACTATTTTTACATTTACTAGCCAAAGCTCTTCATGTTGGCTTACTGTACGACATAATGGCAATATTGGCTCCCTTGTCGCTATATGAAAACCTTCACGGGCGGATAATTCAATAACGAAATTTTCCGTCTAGATAACTTCGGTATCACTGCCTCGGTGGATTAGACAACGTGGTCGATACAGAATGGTTGTAAGACATTCAAAAGGCCCATATAATCTTGAACTTGTCATGCTGGTTAGATTCGGTAGGTCTAGGAACAAGAAGCCTTCTTTGCAATGAGTATTCCTAGAGGAGATATGCCTGCGTACTTAGCGGTCATTGTGCGCAAGTTGCAGTTGATTCTTCTTCTTGTGGTTAATAGGGCCATGGTGGTGAGGTCGTCGTAAAGCCCTTTCCAGCACAACGTAGCCCTGCTATCTGTTCATACTCCAATGCCTTTTTAGTTCAGCTGAGTTAGGAGGCGAGTTGCAATGTTGCACGTTGGCGTGCCCTAGACATAAATTCTCTAATATGAAAGTCAATTCGTTTTACTAGATTACGAGGTGATCTTTGAGCAAGAAATATACCAACTCTGAATATGCTTTTGTAGAAGCAATTTGAGGAACACCCAATCAAGCATTCATCTTTGTGATTGGCAAGTGGAAATGGTGACAGACCCACACCTCAAATTGGAGGGGAAGGAAAAAGGTTCGAACAAGTTTAAATTTACATTTTAGCATTTTTATCAAACAATTTCCAATATTTTGAATAGTTTTTATCTATCAACATTTGTTAGTTACGCGCGATATCTTTGCTCTTACAATTCGTTGTTTGCCCTTCCATCTAATTAAAGTAACAGTATAAATATATTAACGTTATCTACGTATTGATAACATAATCCTTTGGGGAGATGGCAGCTGCTAAGCAATTGAATAAATGTGTACATTAGGGTGCAATTTTTTATGCTACTACAATGCGAACAAACTTGATTCATGTAAACAGTTTAGAAGTATTCTCGAAGTCGTTATCGATGAAAAATGTTGTGGAAAAACAACAATAGTTTTCAAATGGAACAGGTATAGCTGCTATTTTGGAGATGGCAAAATTTCCTCATCTAATTTCTTTAAAAACAAATTACAAAGAAAATTAAATTATAGCCACAAAATAATAAAATTAAAGAAAAAACAAGTTCCTAATAGATAATTTTTTTTTAAACTAAAAAATTAAAAAAAAAACAAAATAAGTTTATAAAAATCAAATCAAATTAAAAAAAAATATTTCCCTTTTCAAAACAGCAAAATCTAAAAATTAAATTAAAAAAGAAAAAAAACTATAATTTTCAGACCGATAAAATATATAAAATACGTTTTTGGAAAGTAGATGAAATTTAAAACATATACATATATATCTTTTTAAAACAATAAAAATTAGAAGAAAGTAATAAGAAACAATTAAAATAACAAGTAATTTTTAAGCAAAAAACAAAAACGACTTAATTTCTCATAAAAAAATCGGATTTAAACCAAATTAGAATGGGGCCACCTGTGAGATAACACCTTACCTTTAAGAAAATTATAGAAATCGGTTAACGTGGTCCAAAGTTATGCGGTAGCATACATAAAAAATAGAAAAATAAATGAATAAAAAGATATTCCGTCGAATTGATAACCTTCCTCCCTTTTGTGAAGTCGGTTAAAAATTAAATGAAATCTAAACAAAAAAACTTGATTAATAAACCAAAATAACTTTTTACAAATTAAATGAAATTTCTTTTTAAAAGAACAAAATCTAAAAATTGAATAAAGAAGGACAAAATAATAAATTTAAGAACTAAAAATATATAAATTTAAAAACGTACTTTAAAAGTAATAAAAAAAAAATATTAGTAATAATAAAATAAAAAAAATCTATTTCTCTTTAAAACAATAAACAATAAACAGAAAGATACAAAGAAAATAAGTTCCTAAAATTAAATAAGATTAGATTCATTTTTAAACAAAAAATTTAATTAGAATAACAAAATGAGTTTCTATAAATTAAATGAATTAAAAAAAAAAACATTTCTTAAAAAAAATAATAATAATTAAAAAAAGAGAACTTAAAATAATTTTCGAATGACATTAAAATAAAATTTGTAAGACTTTCGTGCCAAAAAAAAAGCAAAATCTTCAAGTAATCTTAACTACTGTCCAATTATTTTACAAAAGACTTGCAACTACAGTGCGCTCTGGGTAACGTGAACGTAATTTTTGCACGGGCTGTTCACAAAATCCAATTTGTTCATATTATCAAGATTATGTTATTCCATATAGGTAAAGTGCTTTTTATAAAATTTTTTATGCATTTTATTCACGGCAGTCTTACAAAGTAAAAAAAATTTTAATGAGTTTTTTAGAACACATTATCGCAAGCTAGCTTCACAAATACTCTAAGCAAGACGCGGGTTATTTTGAAACTGACAAAAAATTACATGGAAACAATAAGCAAAACCAATTCTGCAGCAGATTTGTAATCAATATATGATTTACAGTTACTTTTTCTCTTTGTTTTTTTTTCATCTTATTATGCTCTTTAAGCATCCCATTTTCGAGAATTAAGATGTTCACGCTATACAGCGTTTCAATCGTTAATACTACAGAGTAGCCAATATAAAAAATAGACTGTTCACCCGAGCGAGTGTTTCATGTAACCCTATGTTCATGCCACCCAGAGTTCACTGTATATTAGCCAGAATTGTCCTGTGTGTGCTCTGTTATGCATACTTTGCATTGCACTGCATACATAAACATTGTTTGTGGAACATAATCGTGAATATACTTCACGCAGCGCATACTTATCTTCTCAACAAAGACTACACATACATATTTGGCCGCACTAATTTCTCACTCTCTCATTTTTACTGCTCAATCGCATGCCACTTTTATATAGAAATCAAAAATCAACAGACTTCTTCGATGCTACGCGTTGTCAAGGGCCTCCTCTATATCTATGGGGCCACCTTAAGGATTTTTTTGAAAATTATATTTTTTGCGTGTTTTCAAGCGCATGCATGGTTGTTCTCCCATTTTGTTTGGCATAATGAGTGCAATATTAGGGGGTTTCTTAAGAAAATAGTCTCTTATATGCCCAGTCTCTTTCCAACGTTTTTAAAAATTAAAAGATATTTGGCCAAATAACCCGAATTGACTTTGTCTGGGCACTTCCTGCCATTGAAGCGGTAGTGATCCCCAGGCATAAATCATCCTAACCAAACTAATACTACAAGTATTTAAGAACTAAAGGCATTCACTTCAATATTTTTTTTAATGCGATAATTTTTTACTCTCAGAAAAAATACTTTTAACGATAACTCAGAAACTGAAACCGATTAAAAGGTGAATTTTCTTAATGAAAAACTAAGCTGACATATTTCTAACATTGTCGAAGTCACGAATAAAAACTTGTGGAGCTGAAATCTATTTTTTCGTAAAATTTGTGTTCTTATCATTCGATAATGAATACCCCTATTAGGTGACTCTTTATCGCACAGCTAGTGTTTGTTTCTACTTACTCGTGCTTTTCTCTCAACGCCTGACTGGCTACAAATGTGCGAGCAATGCCGCTGCTGCTGTTCATGTAACATCCACTCACGATGGGCAATTTTGTTGAGATTGCTTGCATCATATTTAAGCAATTTAAGCAATTTAACAAATACACACACGCACAGCTTTGTTGATTATAAATATTGTTATTATAGTTATTTATTTATAAAATTGATATTCTTGCACTCTACAATGGAATTCTCGTTGCTTATCACCGGTTTTTAGAGGCACACGTTTCTTTCTGCCTTTCTCGACTGTATCATACGCATTACTACCTACTCTTGAAAGTTTTGTTATTGCAATATTTTCCACTTAGCGTTCGTAAGTTTTTATTTTTTATTATTATTCATATTCGTTGTGTTTTTGCTTTCTGCTCGTTTTTCGCTAATTAGTGTCGTAAAGCTTTGTCGCATCTCTTCAAATTCGACGATCAACTTCGAAGCGACGCAACTCAAAATTATTAAATTTTTTGGCTATACGAAACGAATGTAGTACTCGTTCAAAAAGTAAAAACGAAAAAAGTAATTCAAAATTATTTTATACACTTAATAACTTTTTCGGTGTTATCATGATGATCTTGGTAAAAAAAGGCGCTATTTAACACTTTTGTTTCTTTACAGAATAGTTAATGCAAACTAACATAACATTTTTTAAGTTCGGAAAATACTGTATTTTTTTTGCAGACTAGAACTAACTTGATGCTCTAGTAGTTGTAGTTTATATACATTTTTAATGGGCCATATCAACGACTTTTGTATTAAACTGGTTATACTAAGAAACTTAGTTAGGCCTTTTTATGCTAAAGTAACGTCAAGTAGTGTTTTGTTAAGACTTCGAGCTTTTTTGATGTGGCTCTCACTAGTCGTTTTGCCGGTAATGCATATGTATGTAGGTATGTATGTATTACACAAATGCAAAAGTGCTGCCCAAAGCTTAATCATGTCGGGCTTTTAATATACTCGTATTATTGCAACTACATAAATTTTTTAAATATAAATTATAGCAAATCCTTTATTACTTGAAATTTTCAGGTTTGTGCTTTAGTTTGTTAAAGCTGTGCTAATATATTACGAGGGCAGAGTGATAAGTGTCTTAAGAATGCCGCATTATACTAAAATCAGCCTTTTGACATAAGCTACTTTTCCATATGAACACAGATATGTATATCCATTAATATGCTTATATAAATCGTCGTTTGAAAATTTCTTTATTTGGGTATAGTTGTTATTGCAACCTGATCAATTTGAGCATTTTGTTTTACTTCGTATTTGAAAATAAATTTTTTTAAAAAAGACAAATGTGAAGATGAAGAAATAAATAATAACGATGAAGACAAAAAAGAGAAGGAAAAGAAAAAGCAAAAGACGAAAATGGAGACAATGTGAAATACAGAAGAATTAGGGTAAAAAAGGTAAAAGGGTAAGAAAATGTATTGAAACTTTTCGATAGGACTCGAATTAAACTCAGTCATAAAAAATGTATGTATCGAAAGTTATCAAGTTGCCGAAATTTATCGAATCATCGAAGTTTATCGTTACCCAAATTTACGAAGTTATGCATGTTTATTGAGTTATCAAAACGTACCGAATCATTCAAATTGATCAATGTTCATTGAGTTGTCGAAATTTATAGCCACACAAAATTAGTTGCCAAAATTAACGGATAGTTATCAAGCTATAAAAATTTATGGGATTATCGAATTTTGTCAAATAAATGAAATTTCTCAAGTTATCGATATTTATTGAATTATCATTATTTATACCGTTAGCAATATTTGTCGAGTTCATAATACATCGAGTTCTTTGAACTTATCTTGTTATACATCTTTATTTATTTACTGAAACTTTCGATATATCGGATCGGAGTTTTAAGTATTTTCAAAATATATCGAGTTATCGAAATTTCAAAGTTGTATAAGTTTATCGAGCTAACACTACTTATTGAATTTCATTGGTTACCAGAGTGGAACGAGTTATCGAAATTTGTCGATAGCTTTCGAAAAATATGGAGCTATGGAAATTATACAAGTCATCGAAATTTATAGAAGTATCCAAAGTTATCGAGTTATCGAATTATATCGAGATACACATAGTCTTGAGTTATCGAAACTTATAGAGCCCTCGAAATTTAAAGTTATCAAAGTTAATCGAAATTTCTCGAGTTATCGAATTAAGCTAAGTTATCGGATTTTAGGATTTTTGAAATTTATTAAATTATCGATATTTAAAAATTATGAAAATTTATCGACAAACTGGAATGTATCGGACCAATTCCAAGTCCTGCCAAAGTCCTCCGAAGATATAAAAAATTGTAATGACGTTTTAGTCCCAAAGCAGGAGATTTTACGGCAAGTAATTTTGTACCTTATAAGATAATTGGCGTGCTAAGTTAGAAAATTTTCTACAAGGGCCTTAAAAAACTACAAAAAACGGTCGACTTTCGACAGTAACTGGCACACCCCAGAGACTAAAGTACTTTTGCAAGACAATTTCGAATTATTCTACTTTGACCACACCCAAAATTTGTAGAAAAGTAAAAAATTCAAAAAAAATGTTCTTCCGAATTTCAAACTTTTTTCTCAGAAGTGTAAGATTTTTTTTTGAGTATGCAGTTTTATAGGCCATTCAATTTCAGTGCAATAATGTGCAAGTTTCGTGTTGCCAAACATTACCGTTTATTTATTAATTTTGTTTTTTCGCGTTTACTTCCTTATAAGTTATAAAGAATAAACAAAATTAATATTTATATGGCAGAAAATCGGAAAAAAAATCTAAAAAATTAACGGAATTCTTATACACCTGCAAAATATTGCACTAAAATTGGGCTATAAAACTGAATTAAAAAAAAAATTCTAACACCTCTGTGAAAAAAGTAAACTTGGGTTTACAAGGGCTTTGCTAGAGAATAATTTAATTAAAAATTCTTAAAAATACCTAAATAAACATAAGTGACAAACAATATCACGCTGAAATAGGGGTGCTATTGATATGACCGATACTGTACATTCGGCAATATTTTTTTTTTAATAGTTCTACTGGACTAATCGAAATATCTCCTTACCAAAAGTTTAATGGCTTTTTGTGAGCTTTAATTATTAGGGTAGTACATTTAGGTGATAGGAACTGAAATCTTGTGGGTCGGTACTATAACAGGGCAGTTATGGTCAATGAACTTTGCAACAAAAAAATATAACCTTTTTGAGACAAGAAGACATTCCGCAAAACAAAATCGAAATTCTCTTCGAATCGAAATACTCCCTTAGAAAAAATTTCATGATTTTTGGCGAGCTCTAACTTATTGTGATTAGGTTGCTAGGAACTGAGATCTGGTGAGTCAGCACTGGAACGACTACTTGAGGTCCATGAACTTTAGAATAAAAAATTCAATTTAATTCAGTATCATTGTAAATTCAATATGGCCGGTGCTACAAAATGGCGGATTGCAAACACAGTACACCATGAACAAATACCAAATCGAAGATGGCCGCCGCCACAAAGTGGCGAATTACATTTTTTCATTCCACTCACCATGGATATCAAATGAAAGGCCGTGAAAAAGTAGAACACATCGCATTTTAGAAAAAACAATTCCTTATCAAAAATGGTGTCCCAAAGAAAATGGCGCTTCATTGAGATTAGACAGTAAATAAGTTTAAACTAAAATCTAGGTATCAGGTTTTTCTTTCAACTTAGAAACGTGATTCAGGTATGAATCACCGGTTTATCCAATTTTTTCTTCATTTGAAGATGGAGAACCGGTTTTTTTTTTTGAATTGCTATTTTTCGAATAACTCGAAAACCGGGTTTCGAAAAAAGCCGAATAATCGTACAACCTAGTTCTTTCCATGCTGATTTCGCTTTTGGTCCAGCTGCCATTAACTGGAGAAAATCTGGTTTAATTCTCAAACAAAAAAAAACATTTTTTATTAAGGTTGTGTTCACATCGGTATAAAAGGACATTTGTTTGTAATTCTCGTGTGAATAAAAAATTCGCCCTTCTGCGGCCCGTCTATTCTAGTCACACAATGCATCTTTATTTAAAAAAAAAGGTTATGATTTATAAGTAGATACAACAAAAGCGAAGGGTTTGCTTTAACCGATGTGAATCGAACTTTATGAAAAGAAAAAGAAAGGTTCTACTTAACCTTATAAAGATCGCTTTTTGCTTTCCACTTACCAAAAGGTTTAATTTACACCAGCCGAAGCTAAATGGGTTTGCTTGAAACAAAAAAAAATATTTGCCTTAGCATAAGATATAAATTAGACATATGTACATCTAGATTCTTTGAACAAATGTAAACCTTATTTTTCCATTGGTTTAAATAGAACCTTATGAAAAGAAAATAAATGTTTTTCATTTGTTTTATTTCGGGTAGCAAAAAAAGATTTTGCTTCTATCGGCGTGAATGGCACTTTAGGTTCAACAAGAATAATGGTTTTGCCTCTACCGGTGTGAATCGAACCTAATGGTGAGAAAAAAATTTCAATTTAAGGTACAGTTAACAGCGGCAGAAGGAAAACGGGTTTGATTGTTTAGATATTAAGCTATTTTTCTCTTTCGGTAGCATTAGGTTCAGTTTACAATAACGTAAGCATTGAAATTGAAACAAAAGAATACAATTTTTTTTTGCCATAAATATAAGTACTTACGTATATAAAAGGGTATCTTCGTTTCGGTTGTTTTGTTGTATATTCGACTATTAGACGCGCTGTGCTTTTGTTTTTGTAAGCAAAGATAAACACTTTGCTGCTGGCGGTGGAATTCGACCTTTTTGAAAAGCAAAACCACTCGTGACCGTGTGAATCCAACCTTATTGATTGAAAACCTAAGGTTAAATTCACACGGGCAGATGCAAAATGTCTTTGGTTCTTGGAACAATTCAACATTTTCCCCTAAGTATAAGGTTCAGTTCACACAGGCAGCTGCAAAACCTTTTTTGTTTGTTTACAAAAACAACAGGATGAATGCCTATGTATGTATGTAGGTACCTACATATACATATATATATGCATGTTCCGTTTCATTTAGTGTGGAATTCCCCCTTCGGAACAATGTGCTCTAGTCTGTGTCTTGTGTGATTTAAACCTTCCCTTCTGCTGCTTCCGCTGTTAACTCCTTTGTTCAATTCCTATAAATTTTCACGATATGAGGCCTGTTCATCGATAGAAAAAT